AAAAAATACTCTTAAGGCTATTATCGATATAGATATTATAATATAGATTAAAGTATATTATAAACTCTATATTATAATAAAAACTCGCTATAAAAATAACCCGCGCGATTTTATTAAGAGCTATATTAACACTATAATCGTTTAAAAGAATTTAGAAAAATATAAATTTTATAAATTAAATATTTTTAACTTTATTATTTAAAGGCTAAAGTCTCTTAATTTTATTATCTATAAAAATAAGCTATAGATCTATATTAATTAATCTATTAATCTATTATATAAGATTAATAGTCTACTTAAAAAAATCCCTTTATTATTAATAAGAATTAAAAGATTTATTATTTTTATAAAAGCTTAGATAGTTAATATATTTAGTATTATAAAATCTATAATTAAAATTATAACTCTTATAATAAAGACGAATTTTTTAAATTTACGCTAATTTATATTAGAATATAATAATTTAATATTATCTCTAATTCTATTATCTTTATTAAGTTCTTTAATACTTATATAATAGCTATCTATATCGAAATAGATATTTATACTTTTATTTCTATAACGCCTATATTAATTAAATATTATATTTAAAATAATATTAATTTTATTAAATTTTATATTTGAATATAGATCTATAAATTCTATATTATTTATAATAAGAACTTTTATTCTATTAAAAAGCACCTCGAATAGTTAAAATATAAACGCGTCTATAAAGAATCTTAAATTTCTAGAAATAGAGATTATAGTAATTATTTAAGGTAAAAAAGATAGTTAAAATAATAATAATATTAATATTAAATCTAAATTCAAGAAGCTTAAGAAGGAGAAGAATTAATCTTCTAGTATTAAGATAATTATTATAACTATTTAATCTATAATAGCGCGCTATTTTATCGCTTATATTACTATTATATTTATCGCTAACTTCTAAATATTAAGTAATAAAATCTATAAATCTTTTAAAATTAAACTCTTAAATAGAGTCTTTACTACTATACTTTCTATTATAATAATAATATTCTCTCTCTAACTTCGTAATTATATATATACTTAATATATTATTTATAATTTCTTAATCTTTAAGATTTTCTCTAAATTTTAAAAATTTTATTTTATTAATAAATTTATCGGCGATAGCTATATAACTATTAACTTTAATAATATTAATCTTAAATATAAAATAAAGAGTATTAAGCGTATTTAGACTCTTAATAATATCTAATATATATTAGAATATAATTTTAATTTAATTTCTAAGAAATAATTAAAAAAGTAATAATACTCGCTTTTTTTTATTCTTAATAATCTTTTTATAAAAAAATAATAGTTTTTTTTTAAACGTATTTAAAGTCATCTCTATATACTTAATATTTAAAAGAATACTCTTCTAACCTTAATTATTATTAATAAAAAAATTTCTACTTATAATAAATCTCTTATTAAGTCTATAAAGCTCTCTAATAAATAAAAATCTTAAATTAATAAGGATATATTATATATATAATATATCTATATAAATTATTTAGATATTTAGAATATTAAGAAGATAATTAAAATATATACTAAAATAAATCTTTTTAAACTTTCTTCTAATAATATTTATAAGTTATATTTTATAATTAGCCTTAAAATAAAGCTTTATAAACGCTATATTATTCTTAAGAGATAGAAGAATAACTTAATTTATATCGATCTCTAGAAATCGTTTAATATTTTTTATAACGATTATATATTTATAATTATCTTTCTAAATAATTTCACTCTACGCTTCGATATCTATCTTCTATCAAATAAATCTAATAAGTTTATTTTTATTATATTTAAGTTATTCCTTAATAATATAAAATATAATAATTATTATTATACTCGCTTTCGCTTTAATTATAATATAAAATATTAAAATTATAAAATAAAAGCCTTTTATTTATCTAGAGAAATTATCTAAAAAGATATTATATCGAAAAATTCTTAAATAAATAATAAATTTAAATAATTAAGCGCTATTATTTAGTATAAAATTAATATAATATTTAAAAAAAAGTAATCTATCGTAAAAATATTAAACTAAATTTATTTATATTAAAAACTATTTATATAATTATTAACTTATAATTAAGCGAGATATTACTTCTTTTAAAATCTATATTAATTTTTTTCTTAATATTTCTTATCTATATATTATTAAGTAAATAAATTTCTATTCGATTATATTTAAAGTTACTAATTAAAAGAAGTATTAAAACTATATAATTAAGGGATAACTTATAAGCTATTAAGATTATTTCTATTATATACTCTTAAATAATAATAAGATTATTTTTATTTTTAATATTAAGTAATTTAATAATATCTCTTCTAAGTCTATATTCTTTATTTTAGAAGAGAATATATACGATAATATTAAAACAATAGTCTACCGCAACGACCGCCGGCTTATTAAAATTATTAATTATCTCGAGGATTATCTTCTCTCTTTATTTATAATTTTAAAGGAAAATCGCTAAAAAAGATAAGTAACTTTCATTAAAGATAAAATTAATAATTTATTTAATTTTATTTAAGTTTTTAAAAGGGCTTAACTAATAGCTCTAGCTAATTTAAAGCTTTTAGAAAAGTAATTATCTAATAGAAAAGTAATTATCTAATTATTCTTTTAGGGGTGTCGCTGGTAACGGTAATACGTTCTAGGGGCGCTGGTAGCGGCGTCTTACTGATAGTGCTTAAGTTTATATATAGTGTCTTAACGTAATAACTCTAAGGGCTTAGTACCTGAGGAATTTAATTATAGGCTCTTAATTATTTTCTAACGAAGTATCTTTATATTTCTATTAAATATTTAAAGAAAATAAAATAATTATATAATAGACGAAGTCTTTTTATTACTCTAATAAGCTACTTTACTTAATATTTTATTATTATTATATTATTCTTTAAAGCGTATATATATTGTAATATAAAAAACTTTTCTATTAAAACGAAGTAGTTAAAAGAAGTAACGATTAAGACTTAAGAGTTAAGAGTCTTATTAAAAAATATATTTTAAAAAATCTAAATTAAAATATAATATAAATAATTAATATATTATATTAATTATTAATATAACGCTATAATATTAATATCTAACTCTATTAAGATTATTATAAAAAGTTTTCTCTAAATTAATAATTTAAAATTATTAATAAATAATTTATTAAGAATTAGCTAAATAATGAAGTAATATAAAAAAAAAGTATATTATTAGAGCGTAGTTTATTTTTAAATAAGCTATAATCTAATAGTAAAGTAGACTTAATATCTATTAAATTTTATTAATTTTTTCTCTCTTATTATAAGAAATATTTTAATTTAGACTCTTTAGAGGGGTAAATTATTAATAAAATAAATATTAATTAATACGCGCTAGAGAAGTAGAAGAGAAAGAGATAAAGAAGAGTTAAGAAGAATAGATAGCGTGAGAAGAGATAGAGGATAGTAGAGGAGTTAAGGTTAAGAGAAGAAGACTTTTTTTAACTCTATAAATTCTATAAGTAGAACTATTAATTATAAGACTGCGATAGATTAATAGAAAAAATAATTCTTTTATTTTCGTCGTTTAAAATATTAATCTTTAAATAAAGGCGAGTTAATATCCTTAGCTTTTCTTAATTATTAATAAAGAAAAAGATAAAGAAGGCTTAGATAGAAGATGAGCTTTATTATATTACAAGCACAAGTATAAGATTTTAATAATAAAAGTTATAATAATTCTTCTAAGGAAAGCTACTGCTAAGATATCGAGTGCTAAGCTATATTAAGCGCTAAGTCGTACTAAGTTATATTAAGCTATAATATTAATAGATATAGCTATAACTATAATATCTTCCTCTCTTAAGAAAAAGCTCGTTTTAAGCGTTAAAGTAAATAAAAAGAATAAGTTTAAGATAGATGCTTGATAATAGTGCTAAGAATTTCGTCAATTTAAATATAATCTTTTAGGTTTATTTATTTGCCGAGTGCTAAGGAGATTCTAAAGTCTTAATCCTTATATTAAGCGACTAGAGATTCTATATTTAAAAACTCCGCCGCGAGAGTCTTTATAGCGTTATCGCTTTTTTATAAAATAACGTTAATATCTTATTTAATCTACTTTCTATCTATTATAGCTATTACTATCTTTAATATTAAAAATTTATTCGCTAGAATTACTATTATATTATTCTAATATAAATTAAAGATAATTAAGATTTAAATTTTTTAATTAGTAAAGATAATAATAATAGATAGCTTAGCGACTTATCTTGTTACGAGCGTACCCTTGACACACCCCTCAGCCCTATGGCTAGCGGGCCTTGGCGGAGGCATCCCCTACTATATCATGCCTCCTTCCCACCTACATAGTTCGGTAGCCTTATTATCCTTGATCTACCTCACCCATACTGGTATCGCACCTATGCTGGTCCTGACATTATAATAAGACTCCTTCGTACCCCCCCGGCGAAGAGAAACTTAAACGAACATACTCGAGGATAGCAGAGTCTAAACAGCTACCAAATATTTCACTTTCTGCTCGAAGCAAGCGACCGAGCCTAATAAAGAAAACGCTGGGTATTTCTACCATACAGAAACCCCACCACACATCCAAATCATCAGATACCTACATCATTCGAAAGAACCTACATCAAACAACCTACATTATCAACGATAGTCCAATCCATCAAAAAACGAGTCCCCTACATCGAATACAAGAAATCCTTCTCCGCTCCACATCACCCACATTGAAATCGCCATAACTCACCGCTCCGTTCTTACCTACATTCAACACATCACGAATTCCGACTTAAACCCACCTACATCGACACCAAGATACTTCTTCCTTCCTTCCTTCCTTCCTTCCTTCCTCCCTACAGCAAACGTTCGACCTCTTCACTAAGCATATCGACAACACACTCATAGTGAGCCTGCTACAATGGCGACGGGAACAGCCCCGAAACGGCTACGATTCGACCTCTTCACTGAGCATGTCGACAACACACATAGTGAAGCCTGCTACCAAGGACCAGCATAGGTGCGATACCAGTATGGGTGAGGTAGAACTAGGAGAATCTTACTGGCACGCAGGCAAGATATGGCCAATATCTCCAGGATCTCTACAGGACAATGTGGGTATGGCAGGCATGGATGGCACAGTCAAGACCAGCATGCGATCCGATGTTTTCGACTACTACCACTACACCTCGGCAAATCGTCTCCGGTCGAGGCCTACACGGACTATGGATGTTTGGAGACACAGGGCAAGCAATGGGCGTGCATCTCCGGTCTACCAGCCATGGGGGCCATGGCTATTTGAGAGGGGGGGGTAGTGTTACGAGCGTACCCTTGACACACCCCTCAGCCCTATGGCTAGCGGGCCTTGGCGGAGGCATCCCCTACTATATCATGCCTCCTTCCCACCTACATAGTTCGGTAGCCTTATTATCCTTGATCTACCTCACCCATACTGGTATCGCACCTATGCTAGTCCTGACATATCTAGATAATCTAGCCTCTACACTTTTTAACTCTATCGATATCTTATTCTTTAAATATCTAATTCTCGAAGAGTCTATTATTAATAATATCGAGATAAAGCTTAAAAGTAAAATCGACTACGTAGTTAAAAATAAGATATTAATTAATAAAGTTTTTAATAGAGCTTATCTAAGAGAGCTTAATATTAAGATTAATATTTAATTAAGATATAGAGTTAAGAGAGATTACGACTTCTTAAATCTCTATTATTTATTTAATAGAATATTCTCTAGAATATTTTAGTTTTCTAAGATTTTATAATTATTTAAATAGACGTCTTCTAGATAATAGTATTGTATTTTTTTTTAATATCTTTTATTAGTTTATTAGAGTATATTCTATTTTTTATACTCTTTTAAGCGCTAATAGAGAGCTTATATATAAGCTCTATACGCTCTTTAAGATTTTTATATAATTAATATATATTTTATATAATAAAGCGTTTAACGTTATTCTTATTTTTTTATATAATTAATATATTATAAGATATAAAGTTTTAGACTAACTATTCTTTCGAGTTAAAATTAAGCTTTTAAAATTTAAATCTATTTTTAATATATAATCTTATTATATAAAACTTTTAAAAATTAAATAAAATTATAAAAGTTCTATAATAAAGAAGAAATTTCTTTTTAATAATATTATTAATAATATCGATAATAATATAAATAGAAAATCTATTAATAATAAATTACTTTAGTTTCTCGGCGTAGCTAATTCGAAGCTATAACGTAATATTTTTAAACTTTTCTCTATTATTTAAATTATTAAAAATTTAAAAATTTATTAATCTATCTAAATCTCGATAAATAATAAAAATATTTTCTTTCTTTATATTAGCGATTAGAATTCTAAACTCTCTTAGAGTAATAAAGATTATATTTAATATATAATCTAGATTTTTTAATATTTAAGACGCTAATGTAATTAAATCTAAAGTTAATAAAAAATATTATAAAAAGTTATTCTAATTTTAGCTTTAGTCTATATCTAATAACTTTTTTAAATTATTATAAATATATTAGAAGACTTTATTTATATTCTTGAAAATAATTTTTTAAAAACTTTTAAAATTAATATAGTTAAAAGTAATTCTCGAAGTAATATTAATAACTTCTCTAGAGTAATTTAAGATTTAATCTATTCTAAAAACTATAATCGATAATACTTTATAGCGAATTTATAAATAATTATTAAGATCGAGAAATAAGAAGTTTTTATCTTTATCTTATAATTTAATATCTCTCTAGCGATTTCGTAAATAATAAATATAAAAAGCTTTTAAGATTTCTAATTATTTTAATATCTTCGCGCGAGTCTTAATTTAAGTTAATTAGAAAGTATTAAATAAAGAATAATTATTATAGTCGAAAGTGTAAATAAATAAAGATATAAAAGGATAGCGATTAACGTCTTTCTTTATCTAATAGAGATTTTTATTAAAATTTAAGAGTTTAGCGATATTATCGATAATTAATTAAGAGGCTTCGTTTATAATATAATAAAGTACTTCTTAAATTAATAATTATAGAGTATTCTAGATTAAGAAATAGAGGTATTGATTATTTAAGATTATAAGAGTTATATTATAAAGCTTAGAAAGATTTTTAAACTTAGATCTAACGAGATAATAGAGAAATATAATATTATTATATTATAAAATCGATATTAAATAACCTCTAAAGTCGTTTATATTAGAAATACGAATTATAATATTTCTCTAGATTTCTAAAAATATAGAAATATTAGAAAGATATTTTTAGATTTCTTTCTAAATAAGCTTTAGATAATAATAATTTATACTCGAAAAACGTTAGATATAGCTATTATCTATTTTAATTCGCGATTAATTAACTAGATAAGAGTTAATCTCCTTATTAAAGATATTCTTATATCTATACTCGAGCTTTTAATAAATTATATTAATAAAAAAACGCGAAAGCGTTATTACTTTCGCGATAATATCTATATAAATAATATTTATATATTAATAGATATAAAATATAGCTAAAATAGAATATTATTAAATTAAAATAAGATATAAATATATTTATATAAATAAAGATAGAAGTATAATAATGAAAAAGTTTAGATTTATCTTAGTCTATCCTTACTTCATAAGTATAAAAAAGAAAGCGAAAATTTATAACCTTATTTCCGTATCTTTAACTTCTCGAATTTCTTAATTATTTCTAATATATCCTCTCGAAGTATACTAATAAGTTCTTAAGTAGTTTTAAAATACCCTTTTCAGCGTATATAATACTCGTTCTTCTTTCCTTATTTCTTTTAATGTATAATCTTCTTTATTATATACTTCTTCTATCCCTTAATAATTATAAATATAAATAGAGATATCTCTCTATTAAATGGGTTTAACTTGGCTTACTCTAGATAAATAACTAAAATAATTAAATAAATTTTAGATATATTAAGAGAAAGTTTTAGCTTATAAATTAAAGTATTAATCTTTTTAAAAATCTTATATAAGCCGATTTTCTTAATAGATAATAAGGAATTTTTAGAGATATAATAGTTTATATCTTTAATTTTAATTAATTTAAGATATATACTCTTAATTAGATTAGAGATTCTATATTTAATATTATATTTAATAACTATCTTAGCTTATATTAGCTTAATTATATTAGAAATATTATTATAAATTATTTTTTAAATTTTAATAAAGTTCGTAAGCGTTAAGTTTTTATCTAAGATTATACTTACTAGAAAATCTTTAGATTTAACTCTATAAAGTGCTTCGAAAGAAATAATAAAAGTCGAGATATTCTTTACAATATTTAGAGAGTACTTAACTTTCGTTAATAGAATATCTTAATTCTTCTTATATTTGCTAATAAGTAGATATTATAGAGCTATCTTTATCGTTTAATTTATATATTCTATCTATCTATCCGCCGAAGAATAATAAATTATTATTATTTTTAATATTACTTTATATTTTAAAAATAGTATTCTTTAGAATATATTAGTGAATTTAAAATCTCGATCGGAGATTAATTTATAGAGAATTCCTTAAAATCTATAGATCTAATCGAAATATCTTATTATCTAAACCTCTATTATATCTTTCTTATTTCTTAATATTAATTAAATAAATTTAGAGAATTTATCGATAATTATTAAGATATAATTATATTTATTAAGAATTAAAGATAATTTAATTATAAAGTTTATAGATAGTTTTTTTAATAACTACTAGAAACTTCTTACTAATTAAAGTTATTCGTATAATAATTATCGAGAGAATTTTAATAATTAATATATTAGATAACTATCAATATACTTCTAAATTATCTTTTATATCTTTAAAAAATATATCGAGTTATAAAGTCGATTATATATTTAATATATATTCTTATAAGTATAATAATTATAATTATACTCTAAGACTCTATAGATTAATTTTTTAGAGATATATAAGCGATTTAGTTTCTTATTTAATATATAGAATAATTCTAAATTAATATTAAAATAATAAGACCAATAAATAATTTATAAATCGAATTTTAAATCTTCGATATTCTTTATCTATTTTTAGATTTATTTATATATATAATTAAAGTATAAATTATTAGATAAAATCGTAGAAATTTCATTAAGAAATTTCTTTTTAATTTATAATATTACTATAGGAAAAACGCTAGCTATATTTAAATTCTTTATTAATTCTTCTTTTATAATTAAATCTTTAATAAAAAGTTAAAATAGTCTATTAACGTTATCGTAATTTTTTCTAGCTCTATATATAATTTTTATTCTAAATTAAAAAGTCGATAAATATAGAGCTTATTTATTTAATTAGATAGATTAATAATTATTAATCTTATTTTAAAGAGTAGATTTTAGAGTAATATAATTAGTAATTATCGTAAAATCTTTATTATTAAAAAATTAGAAAAGTTTAATTAAAGCTTAAATTAAGGCGTTAGTCTCTAGCTTTATAATCTAATATTAAATCTTAATATTACTAAGATCGCGTAATAAAAATAAAATTATTTAATTAATTTTATCGATATTAATTTAATATAGTGCTATCTTATAACCTTTTTTTTTACTATTATTAATATATAATATAAATAAATAATTAAAGTTTAAGAAGATAAAGGTCGATACGTTATATAGTTTATTTTTTAAAAATTTTTAGATCTTATAATATTCTAAACTAGCTTATAAATCTAATACTTTAATAATAAGCTTATTTAATTTAAAAGTCTTAATTATCTTTATAAGATTTAGATTAATATTAATTAAGAGTTATTTCTTTTTTATATAATTTTATCGAGATCTACTTTTATTAAGATTTCTCTTAAAATCTTTAATTTTAAATTTAATTAAAGGCCTAATAATAGTTATATAATATTTTATAAACTTATAATAATAGTCCAAAAAATCTAATTCGATTTTTAGCTATTTAAAATTTCTTAAAAAGATTATTTTTTAAATCGCTTTAATCTTTTCTTTTATAGTATTAAGATTAAATTTAAAGATATAATATTTAAGCGCGATAATATTTAAATAAATAAAATAATACTTAAAGAGTAAGAGAATTATCTCGCTTTTTTCTAGTAAATCTAATATCTAATTAAGATATTTAATATAATTATTAAAGAATATTAAAAAAATAATTATATCGTTAATATAGATTAGAATAAATTATTAAAAATATAAAATAAAAAGTCGTTTTATTCGATATTAAAAAAAAACTTAGAGTATTTACGAGGCCTATAATAGAGATCTTTAATTATTCTTATTCTCGATAAGAGCTAAT